GGAAACTAAAAAGCAGAGCAGTAAGAGCCCGAGTCCATGCTGTAGCAGCTGTGGAGATGGAGCGGTACCTCTTTCCACTGCCTAGGGGCTTGGGTAGGTAGGGGAGGAAAAGTAATTTGCCCTCTACCCTTCTGAGTTCTTAGCTGAGATCCCTGTAATAAAAGACAGATTAACAAGAGAGACAAGCGAAAGTTTATTACATATACCTCCTGTATATATGGGAGACACCCAGGGAAAAACGAGTAACTCCCAAAGGTGGCTTAGAATTCAAGCTTAAATACCATCTTAAAAGGGAAAAGGGAGGAGAGATATAGGTCTCTCGGGGGAGAGTAAACGATTTTTAGAAAAGATGAATGAGCCCTTAGAAGAATAGATGAGAGATTATGATGTTTGTGACAAAGTTTGTCTGGGTGTCGTGTTGACTTCTAGTCTCCCCTCCTGTAAGAAAAGCCAATCTTCCCTGGTTGATTGAACTCCTGAGTGGGGAGCTATGACCATTGAGTTCCTTTTCAAGGATCTGCTTCAGGCAGATAAAGGAGTTCAGAGAAAATCTCTCACTGAATTTGCTGTTTTTCAAGATCCTGCAGATAGTCCAGATAGGGACAGGAAATGAGATCTGGGGTCCGTATAGTAGATGGGAGTGGTTGGAACTGTGTCAACCCCTCATCCACATGAATCCAGGATCCTTGAAAGTCTACCTTGAAAGGGAATCTATAAAATGTCTGGAGTCAAGACTTTGGGTTGCTGCTCAGACATGTGAAGAGCTTGAAAATTGTTACTCCTATCCTGATAAGAAGATAAAGCTGGATAAACTGAAAATCAGTGACTTTTCTTGGACCCACATCATAGACCTGAGTTTGCAAAGTAAACCACCACCTTGAAATAGGGAGAGGGAGGTGCATTCATAGAGTCACAGCTGCGATCTGATTACCTGAAACAGAAGCTGTGGAGCCGTAAGCTGGTAGGGACACTTAAATGGTAACTTTGATGAACTGTTGGAGGCTGAGCGTGAGAAAACGTGAGGGTAAGAAACTCTTGGGAGACACAGTCTTGGGAAGGGTGGGCTGAGTTTCATGCTCTTTACCTCCAGGAACTCTACTAGATTCTAATGGTGAGGATCCAGGAGAGATCCCCTTATTACTCTGGCCACAGGAGAGAAAGAATAATCGTGAAATACATCCAGAGACATCCTCTCTGGGGGAAAAGACTTTGCCAGAGCCTTAGCCCAGCAAGAGAAAGGGCATTCTCCAAGTCCAGCCCCCTTTGATCTTCCTGTTTCACATAAAGAGGGGAAAATGCAGGTGACAGAGGTCAAGGCTCAAAGGAAATAGATTGGAAATACTGCAGCTAGCAAGAGGATTACGAGATGGGGGAAAACTATACGACTGGAGAAATACTTCTGAAGCTGAAGGACACCAGACACAGGCTCACCACTAGACTGAGATTCAACTGGAAGATTATAGAAAGCTTTCTGTCCCTCATACCTTAGCACTCACCACAAGGCTCCAGTATAACAGCGGATGCTGCTAAAAGAGCTGTAACACATAGACTTTCTCTGAGGAAGAAGAATAAGAGACGCCCAAAGTCAAGAGAGGAGATGAAAACAAGAACACTGGAGGAATCTGGAGCCTCTGGCACCTATAGCTACAAAAAACATTCAACACAACGCAACACCCAGCCAGATTAGCACAAATCCTCATACGGGCCCATCTACCTGAATTTCTATCACCCAATACTACACAGCCAGCTTTCAACAAAAGAGGATAAGGCATGCCAAAAGGCAGGAAAACCCCAATCTGAAGAGACAAAGTAACCATCAGAACCAGACTGAGACATGACAATGACGTGGGAATTATAAAACAGGACAGTTAAATTAACTGTGACAAATGTCAAAGGCTCTAACGGAAAGAGTAGACAACATGCAAGAACGATCTTAAAACTAAGAATCAACAATAATAAAATTTCATACGATAATATTTTTTTAAGTATATTCACATAATTTATCCTCTTTACAAATCGAAAGAGAAAACCATATGATATGTCAGTAGATGCAAATAAAAGCACATCGTAAAATTCAGCATATTTTCATGAGAAAAACTCTTAGCAAAATGAGAAGAAAACTTTCTAAACCTGACAGAGGGTATCTGTGACAGGAACTCACAAAAAACCTATAGCAGACATAATTCTTAAAAGTAAAACATTAGAAGCATTTCCTTTATAGTCAGAAAGAAGCCAAGGGTTTCCATTCTCATGGCTTTTATTAAACATTATACTGGAAGTCCTAAACAAGGCAGGAAGATAAAAGAAAAGTACAAAATTTATAAAGGTCAGAAAAAAAAATACTGTCACTACTTACAAGTAGTATGATTGTCTCAAACAAAATCTAAAAGAATCTACACAAAATTTCTTAAAGCTAATAGGAAAATTTGGCAAGGCTGTTGGACACAAAATCAATGCCTAAAGCTGATTTTATTTTTATGAACCAGCAACAAACAAAACATGATTTAAGGACACCATTTACAGTAGTACAAAAACTCGAGGAAACTAGGAAAAAAATTAACACAAGATGTGCAAGATCTTTACCAAGATGTAAAAAGAAAGACTTAAATAAATGGAGACATGAATGAAATTCATTTTTCCTGAATTCATTCATTTTGAATGAAAGTCATATTGCAAACATCCACTAGTAAGGAGATGGACAAATAACATGTGGTTTATTAAAAAGTTGAATACTCTATAGCTGTTAAAATGATGAACTATTGCTACATGCGTCAACGCGGCTAACCTCAAATAGGCAAAATTGAGTACAAAAAGCAAGTCACAGAACATACAGTATTATACAATTTATATACATTTTTAAAACATGGAAAATGGCATATTACTTATGAATACACATATGTAGCAAGAACATAAACATCAAATGTATAATAGTAGTTACTGTCAGAGTCTGGGATAGGACAGGACTTCTCAAACTTTGCACATTGCAATAATTACTTAGGAATCTCAAAAAATACTAGTGCCTGGCTGCCTCCCCGAGATATTCCAATTTAATTGAAATGAAATGAGACCTTGGCAATGGGAGCTTTAAATCTCTCCAGGTGATTCTAATGGGTAGCAAAGTTTGAGAACTGCTAGGGTAGAAGACGAGTTAAGGGCAGGTAGTTATACGGGTAACTTTAGCTCTGCCTGTGAATTTCTATTTCTTAAAATAAGTACTGGATCCAATGTGCCAAAATGTTAAGATCTGACAAGGCTAGGTGATAGGTATGTGGGTGTTTATGATATTAGTTTTTATATTTTTCTGCTTCCTTGAATATTTCCAAAAGGAGAAGGAAAGAAGGAAGGAAGGAAGGGAGGAATATAGGAAGGAAGGAGGGGAGGAATGGAAGGGAGGAAGAGGATTTTATTCCCTCTGATGGAGTCACCCATACAAATGCCATATCTATCTGTTCAGACCAGAAAATTGCTCCAGGTTTCCTTAGTCACCTGGGTGCCCGTTTACCAAATTTGTAGCTACTTAACTAGGGCACGAAAGGGGTAAGAAAAAGGCCCTGACCTTGTCAACTTGATGCTGGTCCTACAGTGATGGCAAACACCCAGCTCAGACTACATGGTACATAGTAGTAGCTGAATCTTTACAGATGTTCTAACAGATAAGTAGACCAATGCCTGGGTTCCTGTTTTGATAGTAATCATTCAGTGTGAACCTACTGTGTGCAAGGTACAATAATAGGTTCAATTTTGGCAAAAAAAAATAACACATGTAAGGCCAAATACACTCTTAAAAAATAACTCTTGGGGCTGGCCCCGTGGCCGAGTGGTTAAGTTCGCGCGCTCCGCTGCAGGCGGCCCAGTGTTTCGTTGGTTCGAATCCTGGGCGCGGACATGACACTGCTCATCAAACCACGCTGAGGTGGCGTCCCACATACCACAACTAGAAGGACCCACAACGAAGAATATACAACTATGTACCGGGGGGGCTTTGGGGAGAAAAAGGAAAAAATAAAATCTTTTAAAAAAAAAAAATAACTCTTGTTCTTGCCATCTCAAAACTAACATTTATATGTGGGCACTTACAGATTTACTAAAATAGATCATCTTGATTGAATCAAACACACCTCTTCTTGATAACAGATGCACATCAGGAGAATTAAATGGTGAAGTGAGACAGTTTGAGAGTGATAGCAACTATTATTTGCTGGGTGTCAAGGTGGGAATGTTGATTTACGTAGGAATATGGGAAGAAAGAATAAAATAAGCTCCATAAACATTAATTCTCCTGGGCAAAACTCTGTTCTCTAACAAAAAAAATGAGACCTGACCTCTACTCATTTCTACTTAAAAAGAGATCAAGACAGTTGGACTAAAAAGTAGTTCTCAACCCTCGCTACAAGTTAAAATCCTCTGGGGAAATTTCTTAAAATGTCAAGGTCCCTGGATCAGAGTACATGGGGGTGGAATGCAGCGGCAGGGTTGAGAACGAGAGCACCTAAGTGAACAGGAAATTTAGAATTATCTAATTTGGTGATTTTCAAAATAATTATTTTTAAATTGTTGGAGCCTTTTCTTCAAACTCCATTAAAGCAAACATATTAAATATCTAAAATTCAAGCTGTGTTGACTTAATTGAGGTTGGGAGGCAGTGCTGGCGCTGGGCAGAGGGTGTGCAAATTCCAGCCTGCTCACAGGTCCCATCCTCCTTTCTGTCCTCCAAGGCCTCCAGCGCTCCTGGCCTCCTTGGAGCCAAGTTTCAAAACTTCTCATGTGAGAGTTTCAAATAATTCATTGGATGGATTCGGAAGTGAAGACCCAGATGATGCTCATTACTGCCTAGGAACAGATTAATAGTCTTTTTACATATTTATAAGGAAAAAACTCACGACAAGGAGTGCAGGCCTACGAAAGATTACAAAATATCTTATAAAGAGCTTCACAATGAGGGGTCACCGGTCCACATTGGTTTAAATACAAAGGCAGTGGAACAGACACGATGAACTCACATGATTCCATTTTCACCTCCAGTCTTCTACCAATCAGCTCCTCTTCTAACCAACTTTTTCCAGCAGAGGAGCACTAAGGCCACTGTTGAAAAAAAATTAAAAATGTATGTATAGCTTAAGCTATTAATTACTGTTGCTGTTTAATGATTCATTTATGATAATTAATGTATTAATTCTTTGTACTTGGGCCCTCAAGCGATTCCGTGCAGGGCGTAATTTTAAAAATTCAACGTATATAAATAGCAAGCAGTAACTGTCCGAGCAGTACCATTTAAGTGCTATTTCATGAATTACAATATTTCAATTCCATTAACTTAAAAGGATTAGCTTTCAAGGAATTCTTGTCTTCTGATCCTATTTCATGTTGATTACTCTTGCAATACCAATAACACCAGAGTTTGCACAGCATCTTTCTTTCACAGAACCTTTATTCATAGTGAAAGCAAGAGTGTGAAAAAAAGAGACAGGGAGTACTCCAGTTCAATTAACTTGAACAACTGTGTATGGAGTGCCTACTGCATGCTGGGCACTGAGAAAGATACAAAGATGTGGGAGTCAAGGTCAGTGGTCCAAAGCAGCTAATGGGCTTTACGATACAACAGCTCCTATTTATTGAGCACCTACGATGTACCAGATTCACATATATTATCTTTGATCTTCATGACCCTGGTGCGGGGTAGGAATTATAATCTCTATCTTTCACATGAGGAAAGATTAAGAAGACTTACCCATAGCCACTGAGCTAGTGTTTGGCAGAGCTAGAATTTGAACCCATGACTTACTGGAAAATTCTGCCTTTCCCCAGTAGAATACATTATCAGGAGACCCCAGGCAAAATTGTGAAGTAGGTAATGCTTGCCTTTGGTCTTTAGGCCACCCCCACTTTATGGGATTCCATTTCTCTGTTGGAGCTCTCCCCCTCCCCCACCTCGTCTCCAGTGTTTTCTTTGCTGTTCTCCGGATTGCAAGCACAGCATAGGAACAGCCCATTTAGACATGCCCTCTGCCTTAAGTCCCTTCTCTTAGACCTGCACTGTCCAATAAAACTTCCAGCAACAGTAGCAATGCTCTATATCTGCACTGTCCAATATACTAACCACTCATCACATGTGGCCACTCAGCACTTGAAATGCGGCTAAGGAACTGAGTTGTTTATTTTATTTAAATTAATTTAAATTTGAGTTTAAGTAGCCGCATGTGGCTAGCATCCTTCAGATTGGACATCACAGCTCTAAAACATTCTCAGCTCACTCTGTGTTTAAAATATTGCTTTTCCATGTTTGATTTTTCTCAGAGCCTGTTCAGCTAGGACACAGTACCACTCACTGCACTAATACACTGATGGTGATTAATTTGAATGTGTACCTCTCAGAAAAGATTGTTGCATTTGAACAGAGGCCTTCTGGACATGAAAATGCAAATTTTCAGACTCAATGACAGGCCGCTAGGGGAGATTTTTTTTGATCAAAAGGACCTTTAAATCTCGTTAATTCCATAACATGTGAACAGCCAGATGTTGGTCCCACATAATATTTTTTGTCATATTCACATTTTACTATAATCAAGCAATTTGTATCCTGTACTTGAACATAAAACTCAGATGTTTTTAAACATTTTTCAAAGCACTTTTTCTAGTGTACATTTTCTTGTTTTCTGCTTTCTGTACTGGAACTCACAAGCTAACACCCACTATGGTACCCAGTTTCATGAGAAATCTTGCAGCCAGGAGCCCAGAGGCAGAGCCCCGACCTGTCCCACTCCTGTGGCAGATGTCTAAGAGGGCTATAGAGGCCACAACAGGCTCCCCACCCCAGGGATATTGTACTTTTTTCCCAACTTACAAAACTGAAGGCTTTCAGAGTTACAAAATTGAAGGTTTTCAGAGTACAAAATTAAGGATGAACCCAGGGTATAGCTGAGACACAAAAGCAGACAACAAGCTCTGACCTCATCCAATAGAGAGACTTTGGGAAAAGAGAAAGCTGCATAGGGCTGGGGGAAGGTGGAACAGGAATCCAAGCAAAAGCTGAAATCAAAGGACCAAATAAGACAACTCCAAATCATGCCCCAAGTGGGAGAGGACCGGCTCAAAGGGGCCTGGAAAACAGTGCAAGATCTGGAAGCTGACACTGAGGGTCTCTTGGTCCGAGGTCCCTTCGCTTTCTGGAAGGTTTTCTGTGTGACACCCAGATGGTCACCCGGCCTTGCCTGATCTTAAAGCACCCTGAAAGGAGGATGTGTGAAGATCGCCTTGTCCTAATACGTCTCTCCTTTCATACACATAAGTTTAATGCAGATCCCTAAATGGACCATATGCTGTTGGCCTTTAACTTCAGGAAGCCGACATGGCAGGTGTGAAATAATAAAAAATATATATACTGGTCTCTGCCCCCAGTTCTTGCTAATATTTGGTCTTTGACCCCAGTTCCTGACACAGAGCTCCTAAATCCCGCGGAGCTTTCTGCATGACAGGAGCATCTTTTGCTCTATTGGAGCTCAGGGCAGGCTGCCCCCAAATGTGCCAAAGTGGTATAGTGATTATTTTAAATTAAAGTTACTTGAGAGACAGCCAGTGTAAGAAGGACACTCTGACCCTGTCTGTCCCCCTGAAAGCAGGAAATAAATCTCCCGTGTGAAAGGTACCCTCCCCATGCCAGGAGGTAGAGAGACATCCTTATCACCAGAGAGAGGGAATTTAGAGCTGAGAAGGCTGTGTAAACAAATCTTGTTACTTCTTACTAATTTACCACCCTAAGCCCAAACTTCTTTGCCTTGTCAATTCTTCACAAATTTATTGTTTCTTTGTCTAAAAAGCATAAAACCTGCTTTGGTCATTTCTCTGGGTCTCATATTCTTATGAGGCCAGGCCTCTGTGCATACATAATTAAATTTGATTTTCTATTGTTAATCTGTCTAATGTCAGTTTAACTCTTAGACCATCCAGAAGAACCTAGAAGGATAGAGGAAAGTTTTCCTCCCCAACAGTTGGTGTAGTTGGCAGCCTCTTCACGGGCTGAATCCTGCTTTCTCCCAGAACTGCTACAGATAAAGAGATCCCAGGACCTCTGACAAAAAGCCAGCAGAAGGTAAGATTTCCTATGATATTCAGCCTCCTAGGTCTCTCACCACAGGGGCAGGCGGAAGCAAAAATTGTGAGAGACAATTTTGGCATAGTGACTCCGGCAGAAAAAATTTGGTAATGAGTTTTTATTGATCTTTTTCCCCCTAGAAATGGTCATTTTTTTTCTTTGTCTCTGTCTGTTATTTGTCATAGGAGGAAAATCCACAGGGCAGAACATAAGCATTGGCTCTATAAGCCTACTGTTTAAGCTGGCCCCACAGACTGGTGAGTTCACAGTTCTCATCAGGCAAGCATCCGTTTAGACAACTTTGCTCTGGGTCCCCTATGTAAAAGTCAACAATACAAAAAGACTTGTACACTCCTATGTTCAGTGCAGCACTATTCACATAGCCAAGACATAGAAGCAACCCAAGTGCCCATCAACTGATGAATGGATAAAGAAAATGTGGTGCATATATACAATGGAATACTACTCAGCCATAAAAAAGACAAAATTGTCCCATTCGCAACATGGATGGACCTTGAGGATATTATGTTAAGTGAAATATGCCAGAGAAAGACAAACACCACATGACTTCACTCATATGTGGAAGGTAAACAAACACATGGTTAAAGAGAACAGATTAGTGGTTACCAGAGGGAAGCGGGGTTGGGGGGTGGGTGAAAGGGGTAAATAGGCACATAAGTATGGTGACGGATAAAAATTAGACTATTGGTGGTGAGCACGATGCAGTCTATACAGAAACTGATACATAATAATGTGCATCTGAAATTACACAATGTTATAAACCATTAAGACCTCAGTAAATAATTGGGGGGAAAAAAAACAGATGAGGTTTTTCCTTTTAGCTTGTTCTATGTCCTGAGAGCTCGGCTTTGTGGCCAGTGAAAAGATTCTCTCTGGTCCCTGCCATCCAGAAGGTATACTTACTGGGGTGCATCCGGTGGCCCGTCGAAAAGAGTGGGGTTCCGAGACACAAAGTCACAAGCAGCACTGTCTTTGTCTGGCCGTGCCAGCCCTCAGTTTGTCATGGGAGTCCCAGTCCATGAGGGACCTTTGTCATCTCAACCTTTGTTTATTTGTCAGTGGCAGGAAAGTCCCGTTCCAGTAGCACCTGCCCAGCATCGCAGATTAGTGGGGTTGTAACTGGAGGCGTTTTACGTTCCCATGCAAGACCAGAGACACAGCTTTTCACTGTACCGTCCTTACTGCCTGTGCAGTGCAGGCCTTTGCTTGTTTAGACTATCTCTGGGTGTGAACTTTTTGGATCACGGGGCTGCACCATCTGCACCCACTCCAGCGACGCCTCTTGTGTCTACAGCAAAGATTTATTCTAAGCCTGGAAAGTTACCTCTGATCTTTCCATGAAAAGGCTTATTGGATTAAGTCATTATGGAATAAATATATTAATGGAGATCCTACTCATCAATGGCCAGAGGACAGAGCTTTTGAATCAGAAAAACTATATCTGAAAACTTTTTTAGGGAGCTCTCATCCTAAATAGCTGGTTTATTGGTATTTATGCGGGGATCAAATTTAAAAAAACACAAAAAAGTATAAAAGCTAGCCTTAGGGAATCCTTTAATAAAAGAACAAAAGTCAGACTTAAAACAAAAATTAAAAACCAAATCTGACATAAATTCCTCTTCCCCTCCCTCTTACACACCACTTTATACCAACTCCCTGTTCCTGACCCTCCAGAAGCTCTTTCGGATGTCTGAGCCCCTGGTCTAAACGCCCCCTCTCAAAACCCAGCCCCACCTCCTCAGCCAGTTGTCTTAGATCCTAAAACTTCTCCAACTTCCCCAGAAAAATCTCTTAAACACCCAGCTGCCTGTTGTGACCTCTCTTTCTTTACAAGATTTACAGGGAACACGCTGGCCGGATCTCCAGGCTTGGAGAACACAGGGGACTTGTGTAAATGCTGAAAGCCGGGAGGTAAATTAGCAGAAGCACCTGAGACTGACGGTGAGGCCGGCTTTGCCGCCCCTTACAGCTG